ACATACAGAGCAGTGTGACCTGGATACATATTCACGTCAGTGTGGATTAACACCTAATGATTCAGCATGTACGCTACACTAATATCAGGAACAGTTTGAATTCTCATCAGCTAATGTACATCCAAAACCAGATAATCCATGATTATATTCATCCAGAATATTAATTTAATTTATTGATTGTTTGTTTATTCATTTTCAGATAATGGGCATCACAATATTGTGGGGCCCAAGGCAATGTCTATAAATGTTTGGTTTTGTCTGACAGACCATGACAAAACATCACCTCACGGTCAAATGTAGCAGCTGTACTATTAGGGCTTTCTGATATTTCCCATGATGCTAATCAGCAGATTTACTATGAAGTCAAGGACATTTATATGTTCTACTGAACGCTTAAAAAGGTCTCGTTTAAATCCCATCTTTTATTAAAGATCATCTGATGTGATGGAAAGCTCCAGATCAACTATTCAATGGGCAAAAATATATTCAATGTGCTGTGGTATTTTTGATTTAAAAATGACTTAAAGGTCACCTATCATGCTATTTTTAGGCAATAGCATAGGTCTCAGATATATACAAATATATAAAAAAACATGTCTATGAAGTGTTTTGCTCAAAATACCAAACAGATCACCCATTCTAGCCATGCCTCATATCCCTCTATTTCACTTCCTGTTTCAAAAGTGCTGATTTTATGTATAAAGCTTTTAAAAAAGAAAAGAAAAGAGGGGCGGAGCTTGTGCCTGCTCATGCAGGAGATTCTACCGGCAGATACTGCAGTGATGAAACGCCATATCATGGATTATCAGGGATTATTTCTGAAACAGTATGGAGCTCAAAGGCTTTCTCTCTTGCCGGTTATACCACAAGGTGAGTTCCTTTGTATTTCCTGCTTCTTCACATACATGCTCTGTGCAGTACAGGTTAGCTCTGAGTCTTAGCGATGCTAATGTGACACCGACCATATTACGTCCAAAACAGTCGGGCATTGTTTCTGATAGCAACGTTTCTGATAGTGCCGTGGGTCCGCATTGTCGATATGACGTCAAATCGCCGCAAATCTGGATCAGCTCCGTTGTACCCCCGTTTTTAGAGGTTTGGGTACGGAGGAAAAGAGAGAGGGTTTAATTTTCTGACGCTGCGTGAGTTCCCTGACACACCGGGGACACATCTTTATGTATAAAAGACATCAAAAAGTGCATTTTGCATGATAGGTACCCTTTAAACAGTGAATTTATTCTCGCAATTGTACACAGAATAGATATGTTTGCCAAGTATCTTATCAACAAAAAGCCAATCTCTTAGCACAACATTTCCTGATCATTTCGTCAAATTTTTCCATGAGATAAAAACACACTACACCTGCAGTACGGAGTGCAAACCACAGAGTATACATCAACAGGTGTTATTAAGGCACGCTGTCACGAATACAGGTTACAGTTTCTGTGTTTTAATGACCAGTTTATTGCACAACAGCATAATGGCAGAGGCCAAAACAACCCTCAAGGGCATATTTGCTCAAAAGCACACCTTCAATTCACAGCAGTAAATAAAGAAGGCAGGACTTTGATACCTGTGCTGTTTGTGTACCATCTCAGGAACCTGAACTCTTTGACATGGGTACGGTGAGATATAGCACAAAAACAAACAATAAATATCTTAATAGAAATACAATAGAGACTCTGCACTTTTACATAGCATTCTGCACAAGGATAGACGAAAGTTGGAGAATCTCAGGTATGTTAACGGTCTGTGCGATAACAGGCCAGAGATAAAAGTAGCATTTTATGGCCCAAAATGAAAAAGCACAACAGATTTCATTAGAGACAGAATTTAATTTAATAAAAGAGAATGCAGTGACTTCAAATACCACAAACTCCTCATTAAAACATGTGTGTGAGGATGTGTTGTTTCGGCCCAGTTTAAAACCCAGTGAGGTTTATTCTTGGCTGCAGGAGTTTTCAGTTTCACACGAGCTGCGCGCTCATTAGTCTAATGAACGTTTTGGCAGGAGTTTGCCATTAGGTCGATGACAGGAGGCCTACAATTAATCTAGAGCTGGCATGCCACCTCCTCACTTCTAATGAGTCATGTTGTCACACTCAAACTCAGCATGATCCTGCCTCTCATAGTCTGAAAACACCAGTCAGGTTTCGAAATGAGAAGCTGGTGATTATGAAACGCAGGTGTGTGTTGTGCAGCCCACACATTTGCATCACACCACATACCAACATCCATTTCAACATATTCCAAGTAATATTATCCAACATGTCTGCACAAGTGTTACTGACCTCACTGTTAAAGAACTGCAGCACACTTTAAGGTGTTGTTTGAGCTGTACAGCATCTGATACTCTACTTACTGTTAACATTGACATCTCTTAACTCATTTATAAGTAAACAGGCATTTTTACATGTTAAAAATAGCTCAAAGTGGGATTTACTGAACTTTGCAAGGAAAATGAAGTTGGGACTTATCTATGTCATCAAATGTATAATTTATCAAATAGATAGCACACATCCTTTAATCAGAAACCAGTGGATGTCATTAAGCAAATCTGCCACACACAATAATGATGTTGAATCTTGTTGTTCAATACATTAACAAACAGCAAATGTAAATAGGGATGTGTTGGTTTGGGTTGAGATAAAAGGCTAAACATCTCCACACAGACATCAGAGTGGTATTGATTCTCTAAGTGAATAAGTGCATTTCCCAGAATGAACAACTCCTTCAAGGACTGAACTCTAACTGCAAAGCCAAAACTAATGACATGATCATTTATTAGTGGCATTTAAGAACAAGTTAAATTACTTTTTATCCTCACAACTGGCCAAAAATCTGTCTATTGAACGAGGCTAGCGGGTTCCACCTGTTTCCAGTCTATGCTAATCTAAGATAACCACCTCCAGCTCTGTTCTTAACACACAGACATGAGGAGGAGAGTGATATCATTCATCTCAAATAACTCTCACAAAGAAAGCAGAGTACATTTATGTCCCAAAATGTTGAGAAATTCCCCTTAATATATTATATTGCTTATGTTGGTGGCGTCTCTCCGCAGCTGCAGTTTGAGCTATTGCTAAAACAGAGTATTTTCAGAAATCAATTCATGAAATATAAGCAAAAGATCACATGTATAATCCCAAAAATGTAAAATAAAAACATATTTTTGAAGCTGTTTTTTCAAATCATAGCTTGATTGGATTAAATCAGATTTAGATCAGCACAACACAATATGGCCATAAAACATTTAAATTGAATTCTTGACATAACAATGTGTAACTTCTCCAGATCAAACTAACGGCTTGCGGCTGTTCAAGTGATGCCACGCTGAGAGCCTGTTGGCACATAATCCTAATCCACCCACTGTTTCACTTTCCACATGTGTTGACCATTAGACTCGGGTCATTAAACACAGAGCTCTCAAACTGATTTTCCTTTTGTCTTTAGTTTGTTTACGTCCTCCTGGACACAAGTGGGCAAAAACAATGAGTCCAAACCATCTGTTGAACTGTTGGACGGACGGTAGAACCGCCCGCAGAGACACATAATGGATTAATTAATGAGGTGTTGTGGAAATGAAGAGGACCCTAACTGAAGGGGTACACAGGAAATATTCAGGATATTATTTATGCTGATGACACAGATGGATCAGATTAATTTGAATATTTATTCATTTTGTGTTAGTTTTGTCAGGATGCAACAACAAAACTATAGAAAACGACCATGACTGGTTCCCAATGTGACATATTCAGATTGTTTTGTCAAACCAATAATTAGAAGAGATATTTCATTTGCAGTAGGTAAAATGGAAAAGCTCCAATGTCTTCCTCAAGAATAAATCAACATATTATTATAATGGTGACAGTTTACGTACATGACAGACATGTATTGTCAATCAACATTTTTAAAAACGTTATGAACCCTACAATTAATTAAGAGAGGGGACTATGGATACAATTAAACCGAGATTAATTTAGAGCAGATATGATTAATGCAGATTAATATCTATCAATCTGCAGATTAATCACAATAACATTATCGTTAGACACAGCCCTGCTTTTTTTAAAATAATGATAGAAGTATAGAAAATTCAGATCTTTTAAAAGTTTAAACAAGCATTTCTGCTTGATAAATAAACTAATGTTTAAACTAAACTGTTTTACTGTTATGGATGTATTTCAATCAAATGATCAACTCAATAACTAACACAACTGGTTTCCCCTGTGCGATATGAATCTTTGAGTTATTTCAGTCGTTAATCTAGGTTGTTACAGACTTTTGTGGACGATTACTTAAAGTAATATGATTCAGCGGTTTATAAAGTGAGATGCTTCAGACATCCTACATGTACTGTCAAAGGCAGGCTGGTTTTATCAATGTGTATAAATCTATTTTTAAATCAGCAATTTCAGTTTCAGTCACTTCAAATTGCTAATAAGTGAACATGTATCTTTTATAACTGTAAACTGATTATATTTAGGATATGGACTGTTTTTCTTAAACAGACATTTCCTGGGAAACAGTAATACTTATTTTCCAATCTTCTGACATTTTACACCCAAAACAACCGATTGAATAATCCTTCTCCGTGTTAAAAAAGTTGTGTCAGTGAGGAAGAGGTAATTCAGAAAATGGTGCACCTGCTCATAAAACACACAATCTGATGGGTAAAGTTAAACGACCACTAAAGAAGCTCGTTTGTCTGTATGACCTTGATAAGAAAGACGTGCATATTAACCTTATTACTGCCACCACAAAACTATCCTTCACACACAACAACACACACACACACACACACTCACTCATGAAACCTGAGTGTGTTTCCTGCCCGGGGACAGGAGGCTGTGCAGCCGCATGGCAGAGCTGCACGCCGGGAGAGAGAAGCTGGAATAAAGCTGTCAGGGTGTCAGCAACACAAACCGATAACACTGTCACTGCGGAGCCACACAGCAGAACACCGACTCACTGCAGGACTTCACCCCGAGTAAACTCACCTTTGAGACGGTCATATGGTGGGGAGGCGTCGGCAGGTGGTGGAGGATTCCCTGGAGGAGCCGGTGAGGAGCAGCGGTGGAGACGAGTTTCCTTTATAATAATGATCGAGGTTGTTTTTGCATGGTGGTCATTTAAAAAGTCATGATGCATGAGGCTCGACCTTGGAAGTCTTTCAAATTTAAATATTATTTAAAATAAAAAGCAGCTCACAGACAGACAGAGCATGTCCCTGCAGAACACACCGCGCAGTCACCGTGAAAAAAA